ACTTACTCCTTGGAAGGAAAGTTATGACCAACCTAGACAGCATATTAAAAAGCAGAGACATTACTTTGCCAACAAATGGTCATCTAGTCAAAGCTATGGTTTTTCCAGTAGTCATGTCTGGATGTGAGAGTTGGACGATAAAGAAAGCTGAGTGCTGAAGAATTGATGCTTTTGAACTGTGGTGTTGGAGAAGACTCTTGAGAGCCCCTTGGACTGCAAGGAGATCCAACCAGTACATCCTAAAGGAAATCAGTCCTGAATATTCATTGGAAGGACTGATGCTAGAGCTGAAACTCCAATACTTTGGTCACCAAAGAGAGTCAGAAGAACTGACTCATTGGAAAAGACCCTGATGCTGGGAAAGATTGAATGTGGGAGGAAAAGGGGACGACAGAGGATGAGATGGTTGGATGGCATCACTGACTCAATGGACATGAGTTTGAGTCAACTCTGGGAGTTGGTATTGGACAGGTAAGCCTGGCGTGCTGCAGTCCATGGGGTCGCAGAGTCAGACACAACTGAGCGACTGAAATGAACCGAACTGAAGTTGCTTCAGGCATGTCCAACTCTTTGTGATCCTATGGCCTGTAGTATCCAAGGAGAAGGAAAAGGCAACCCACGCCAGCATTTTTGCCTGGGAAATCTCATGGAGAGAGAAGCCTGCTGGACAACAGTAAGTGGGGTCGCAGAGTTGGACACTTCAGTCAAAGCAACTAAGCGTGGGCTGTAGCAAAGCAACATTTTAAAATAAAAAGAAAGTAAATTACTACATTAAGGAACAATTTAAAATGGAACAAAACAAAAATATTTTCAGTGAACTACCAACTTTCATTTGTCTTTGAAACAACAGATGTTCCTCTTCTTAATCTATGTAACCATTCTGAGCTATGAGAAATTTCGGCACTCAAACATCTTTCCCAGCAATATTCCACATTAGTATTCACGGAGCAGTCCCAATGTACATTAGGTTCTGATATTTGTTAAATGGGATTTTAATGTGTTTAATAGTTTCTAGTGTTACTCTTGAAGACATCTGCAGTTTATTCTTTTTCCCCTTTCAATATGGTCATTTTCTTTTCTTGATACAGGCTGTATTCATTAAAATACATAATGCTGGTAGTAATAAAGTATTGCTGGAGATGCACAAACTGTCAAAAATTTGTCAAATGTTCTAGCCGTTTCTTTCTAATTATTATGAAAGGGAAATACAGATAAGATGATGGATGAAGAGCAAAGGCATAATTATATAAGCTCTTATTGAAAATATTGGAATCATATAAGAAACATTGCCCTGGTACCAACTTAAAGAGTGCTCTGTATATTTTTTACTATATTTTCAACCAGAGTTAGATATATCATGCTTCACAAGAAAGGAAAAAAAAATCCAAATTATTCTTTAAATAATAGGACATTTGATTTTTTTAATATAGAAAGACCTCCATTTAATTCTACTAAATAAATGTTACTTTGGGTTTGTTCAGTTCAGTTCAGTTTAGTTGCTCAGTTGTGTCC